ATTTAATTAGTTTGAAAAGTATTACAATTATTTTTATCATTGTTAGAGCATTTGTTATGTGATTTTAAAGTGTTTAATTATGACACTCATGCCAATTAACTTATTAGATAAAAATCGCTTAAAAGAACAAAAATATTTTATTTTAGAAAAAGTATTTTAAAGAAAAAAATTGCAATACAATTTCTTATAAGTATGTAACTTCCACATACTATTTAATGTAATGTTGTAATCAATTAGTGTTAGTAGTGAATAAATTATATTAAAATTATTATTACACTTTATTAATGTAAAATGGAACGGTTCTACATTAATTGAAAAAAATAAGCGGGAAAATGAATAGAGGTTTTATTAAATGTTTTATTAAATTTTATATGCCAGCAATTATATATATATATATATATATATATAGATACACCGTGCTCCGAGTCGAGTCGGGTTGGTTGGACCGGGTCGTAAAATGGTGAATGTTGTTTTGTTTGGTAATAAGGGTAACAGTGTTATTGTTTCTAACAAATTAAATTAATATATTACAATTATTAATATGTATAATAATCAATAAAATCGTTGGGATATTATTTTTTCTCAACTCCAACAATAATGTTTTAGCTGAATGTACTTGGCATTTTTATTAATATAATTATCAAATAACAAAAATCAGGATTTATTATTTAGACAGTAGAAAACTAAACTATGACAAGCTGGAAATTACAATATGATTTATTGACAAAAGTGGGGGAAAAAAAAAAGGAGGAAAATAAAAAGAGCTAAATAAATACAAAAATGAAATTAAACCCAGATGAAAAAATAAATAAATTTACCAATAAAATTCATCTGAAAAGATGTGAAGTAACAATGAATTAACACGATGCTATTGTGTTAACATTTAATATACATCGCCATGTAACATGTTTTCTAACCCCAGCTCTTAGCATTGTTATCTGATCATCTGCAGAGAATAACAAAAATAAATAATTAGTAATTTTAATTGATTAATTTTAATTAATTAGTTTCAAATGCAAACAATTACTTAATTTTAATTAATTACAATATTTCTATTGTGCCAATATTTAAATATACTGATACTGAGAAGAAAAAAAAAATGAGAGTTAACGTATAGTAAATAGTAATAAAAATAATAAAAAAAATCTCAAAATCATACCCGATGGGGCTCAATTTGGTGTTGCACCGCGGCGCGTGCCCGCTGTCGATCTCCGTTTGATCGATGCTGTGACAGTCAATCTTGAACGGCAAGCCGTCGATCTGCCTCCCTCCGAAATGGTATGATATATGTCCCCTTACCACCACGCTCACCACCAACACCCTCATCGTCGCCTTCTCCTTGAGGTCCTTCCCCGCCGCTTCCTCCACGACCATCCGTCGCGCCGCTGCCCTCACCCTGATCTCTGACGTCCCATGCGGTGACTGTCGGAGGTCCGGGAGTCGCACCCCTGGAAACTCGATCCCCTCCGACGAGACCTCCGCCGTCATCTCGACGTACCGAAGCTCAACCCGGCCGCTCCCGTTGGTGGCGTTGAGGCGCGCGTCGAACGACGCCGCCATCAGCGTCTCCCCGTCGATCGTGATGTTGCTAACGTCCAACCGCTGGAACCGAACCTCTGGGAGGTTCGACTGGAGGAAGGCGAAGTAGATGCCGCCGCCGAGAAGGGCCACGGCTAGGAGGACGGCTGCCGCGATCGAGAAGCACGCGCAGCATGACCCGCAAAAGCGGTTGCGGCGGCGGGTGGCGCCGCCTCCGCCGGCAGAGGCGGCGGAGGAGAATTGGGACTCGGCGTCGAAGTCGGAGATGGGGGGACGGGCGTGGGGTTTGCCGCCGGTGATGGTGGACTCGTTGAAGGAGACGCGGCGACTGAGGCTCTTTTGCAGGGCCGGCGGGGGGCGGTGGGGTTTGGAGGATGGGCCGGCCATTGCAAAAGAGAGGTTCAAAATGTGGGAAATGAAAGTGAATGGAGAAAAGGCGAAAAAAGCAGGTTACATTTTGTTCACTACATTTTGGTCTTTTTCTTTTTTTTTCGAAAATTGAGGAGGACCGCGAGTAGTATTTTTCCATGTTTCAATGGTTATAAGGGGGTTCAATTATTATTATTATTATTATTATTATTATTATTATTATTATTATTATTATTATTATTATTATTATTCTTTTTTTTTTTTCCTTTTTTTTTGAGGAATAAGTATGGGAAGAAATTAAGGGAAATAAGCTCATTCATTGGCTAACATATTAATGGTTTGGGAGATTCCTACAAAAATGTCAAACCATCCTAAACTAAAGTATGACTTAGTATGACATTTAAAAACATAATTATTTATTTGTGTTGAAGTCATCGAGTCACCTAACGATTAGACCGCTTACGTATTTGTGTTGAAGTGATCGAATCACCTAACGATTAGAACGCTTTCCGTATTTGTGTTGAAGTGATCGAGTCACCTAACAGTTAGACTGCTTTCCGCAAGATTTTGTGTTTCTATACACATTATATTTGCTGCTTCACGAACTGTTTCTCTTAAAACTGGTGCGAACTAAAACACTTTAATAATACCCGCAATGGGTTAGTGATAATTATGTTCATCTCCTTAACTGACACAAGTCCACGAGGATAATCATGTAGTAAATCACAGAGAATATGCAAAAAGAAGCAAGGCATCCCAAAAAATACAGATAATAATGAGAAGAACATCAAAATATGCAAAAAGAAAAACGAGGTGCAATACGATAAATGGTCGTACTTCAAGTAGAGGTAAAATAAAATAATGACAATGTTCATCGACAAACATACAGTCACACGTGCTACAAGTTTAGTTGTATATTAAAGGGACGAAATAGTTCGAGTGGTGTGCATATTTAAATTCCATCTGTAACTTTTACACAGAGATCACTTGTAGAATTCAAAATCTGTGTCAGGTTTCTTCACGTTAGATCTGTAACCCTTCTCAAAATCTTTGGGGAGTATTACGTACCGGTTCTTCCTAACAGCAAGCATACCTGCCTCCTGGCATATAGCCGCAATCTGCAAATTTATTAAAAAAAAAAAAAAAAAAAAAAAA